AATGCCTTTGAAAAGTTATTTATAATCATGATTGCGCATTTGGGTTATATTTTTGAATTAATTTTGTTAAATGTAAATTGTTGAACAAACTTCATTTAAAATATAGATAAGTATACCACAGTATTTATACACTTCTATATTAAGTTAAATTAGTTAAAAAAAATATTTCATAACTACATATTTAGCGCTAGTCCAACTTACCTACGGGACGTGTACATACGGTATATAGCTTAACCGCAAGACTTTTTACAAAAAATACTCATAGGGTTAAAATAAAGTAATATAAGAATCTTTTATTAATACTTTTCAGTAGAAAACAGTCTTAATTTTCCTACTTGTAGTTTTTTCACTGTAATATAGGTACTATACACTAAAATTACATTATTTGATTGGAAAAATATGTATATTAAAAACAGTATTATATTTAAAAAAAATCATACGTACAGTGCTACAAGAATCATTTGGCACTTAAATGACATCGACACGAGGGCGTGGGTGTGAAATTAAGGTTTTTCTGTTATAAAAAAAACCTCCAAAACTCTCTAACACCACTTCATATTTTGAAATATTTTTATTGAAATAAAAGCAAGAAATATCCACAACAAACATCAACTCCAACTTCTCTCAAAAGTGACGCTTTACATGATGGCAGTGTTAGTTCCAATTTCAGCCACGTGCCAAATGATCCTTGTAGCACTGTATATAATAAACACACTAAAGTAGTTATTATTATTATACGATACATCTATATATATATAATAATTGGAACTTACCGAATCTGTACATTAAATATTTTTTGGAAAATCTTATTGAAATAAACATTATTTTCGATACAGAAGCCGCATCTATAGTTTTTAGAATTTTTGTCTGTCTGTCTGTTACCGCATCACAGAAAAACCACCGGAGGGATTTTGATAAAATTTGGTATGGTGATAGCTGATTATCCGGGTCAACATATAGGATACTTTTTACCGTGGAAAAATATCTCATTTGTGAGAAAAAATACAAAAACTGCAATGTAAGGGTATAGATAGATAGATAGATAGATAAATTCTTTATTGCACACACAAAAAAAAAAGATTACAGAAGATAAAAATAAAAAACAATAACAAATAGGCATGCAAAGGCGGTCTTATTGCTACGAGCAATCTCTTACAGACAACCTTTGGTGAAAGGATTAGAAGAATCGAAGACGGGACGGTACAATTAACACTAAATACAGACATGATGAACTACGTTTATAAACATGAATACATACAAAAGACAAAAATATATACATACACGTATAATATATATGTACACAGATACATAAATACATACATACATACATATACATAAGATACATAACTACATATGAATACATAGTATATACATATATACTTAATAACTAACAAGACAGATAATAATTAGTTAGACGACGTTTAAAAATATTTAGAGATTTTGAATGGCGAACATCATGGGGGAGCATATTCCATAGCTTTACAGCTTTTACGGTAAAAGAATTACCATAGTAATTGGTGGTGCAAGATGGTAATTTCAAACGGTTGTCGCTCTGAGACCTAAGTTGCAAACCAGACACGTCCGAACCTAGAAAATTAAACCGTTCCTTTAAGTAAGAGGGAGTAGTTGGATTATAAAGGATGGAGAAAAGGATGGAAAGGACGTGCAAATTGCGCCTAAATCTGATTGGGAGCCACTTTAATTGCTTACGGTATTCGGAGATGTGGTCGAATTTACGTAAACCAAATATAAATCTGATGCACATATTCTGCAAACGTTCGAGCTTGTTAAGCTGTTCCTCTGAAACGTCGAGGTAGCAGCAATCAGCATAATCTAAAATTGGTAGCAGTAGTGAGTGAGCTAGTGCAGTTTTAGTTTTAATAGGCAACAGATTTTTCCATCGCCTCAAACAACTTATTGCAGCGAACATCCTTTTACTCACCTCTGCAATTTGCACAGTCCAGGATAAGGAGTTGTCGAAAAACAGTCCAAGGTTCCTGACGGCGTTACTGTATGCTAGGTCGGAATTGCCAAATCTAACAGGGGACAAGGTATTAAAGTCGATCTTGTTGGTCAACTTTTGACTTCCAATAATAATGACTTGTGACTTGATAGGATTAACACGGAGCCCATACGTCGTACTCCAGGAATAAATTTTGTGTAGGTCACTGTTTAACCGTTCAATAGTATTATTGAGTTCACTGGAGGGACCCGCAGCGTAAACCTGTAAGTCGTCAGCATAAAGATGATAGGGACATGAAAGAAGAGTGGAAATTGTATTAATAAATATAGAAAACAGAAGAGGTGAGAGGACACCACCTTGTGGAACCCCAGCTGAGAGAGGAAAGTAGGTGGAGGATTTATTATCAATATGTACACACTGCTGACGACCGTACAGGTAACTGCTAAACCACCTGATGGCGTCGCTTGACACATTAATGGATTCAAGCACAGCTAACAGGAGTTTAAAGTCAACTGTGTTGAAAGCATTACTGAAGTCAAGCAGGGCTACAACGCTAATTAGTTTCTCGCTCATATTAAATCGTATATCGTCGGATACTTTGAGTAAGGCTGTCACAGTGCTATGACCTTTTCGAAAACCAGATTGGTACGGAGAAAGTATGTTGTGCTGGTCTAAATAGCCACTGAGTTGGTTAAACACAATTCGTTCTAAAGCTTTCGACAAAAATGGGAGAATGGAAATTGGACGGTAGTGGGAGAAGCAAGAGGGATTTTTCGTCTTAGGAATAGGGATAATGCGAGCAGTTTGCCAGGTAGAGGGAAATTCATTGGAGGAAAGAGAGAAGTTAAAAATATGGGTAAGTACAGGAGTAATGGTATCAAGAAGTAAGAGGATCATTTTGCGATTTATACCATCACTGCCAGTAGCATCAGATTTAATTGCTAGGATGTGTTTCTTAACCTCGAAAGTGCTAACAGGGGTAAAATTGAACATGGGATGATTAGGACGTGGTGTTGAATGGAGTTGGCTCAGTGTGCGAAGTCTTATTATTATCCATAGGAGTGACAGAGGCAAAAAATCTGTTCAGAGCATCGAGATCAAGTGTATTGTAAGAGACGCTTCTAGATCTGCGACCAATACCAAAAGATTCTAAGAGCTTCCAGGTTTTGGCAGGATTACCATTATCTATTGCAGTATGGATGTAATTCCGTTGAGCGTCTCTACATACTTTATTGCATCGGTTGCGGAGTCGTTTATACTTCAGCAGATTCTCTTCTGTAGGTTTTAATTTATATTTAGATTTAGCTGCGTTACGTTTAGCCATTAAAATTTTAATGTCTTGTGTAAGCCATGGTGCAGGAAGATGCTTTAATTTAATAGGGCGGAAAGGAGCATGTTTGTCAAAGAGGTTAGTCAAAATTGAGTTAAAAATTTCCAATTTGTCATTAATATTTCCAGCGTCAAAAATCGATTGCCAATCAATATCATTCAGATCATTCAAAAATATATTGTTGTCAAAATTTTTAAAGCTACGCCGCATCACGACCGTAGGTTTTAATTTAGGAGGACGGATTTTATAAGATAAATATACTAGGTCATGATATGAGAAGGAGTCAGCTGGAAATTGTCCATGGGATATAACAAAATCAGGAGAGGAGACGAACATGAGATCTAGAAGGGACGGGGTACAATTAGGAAAAAAGTGAGTGGGTTTTGTATTTAACAACTGAAGATTGGCACTGTTGACGATGTTTAGGAGACGTTTAGCTCGAGAATCATTTTTGATTACACATGTATTAAAATCACCCATAATTATGGTGTGGTCAACAGAAGGTAAAAATTGTTCTAAAAGATTTTCAAAGATTGCAAAATAATCGATTAATAAGGATGGGCTGTAAAAAACACCCAGCAACAATTTCACAGAACCAAATAATACCTCAATTAAAATATGCTCAGAAGTTTCAGAGTATTGAGAATCGGACTTATGAAGTATAGTGAAAGGTATATGATTCCGAATGTAAATAGCAACTCCCCCACCACCCTTGCCAGTGCGATCATTACGAACTAAGTGGAAATCAGGTAAGGCAAAGGAGACTGAGGGTAAACACGGTTTGAGAAATGTTTCAGATATAAGGATTGCGTGTATATTTTTATTAGTGAAAGAGGCTACAAGGTCAGGATAATGGGAAGGAATGCTTTGAGCATTAATATGCACAACGTTAAAATTCTTAGGAAGGGGAGAGAAAGTGGAATCAAGAAGGGAAGAGAGTGGAATCGAAGAACTATGGTAACTGTCGTTTGATGATGATGCTGAGTGGAAGCTAATGTCGTCATCTGAACTATCATTTAAATACATTATATTGAAATAATTAGATAAACAATTAATATATAAATCAGATAAAATAAGAATAATATATAAATAAATAAAATAATATTAATAATAATATAGAATAATATATAGTAATAGATAAAAAAAAATAAAAATTATAATATGGTATATAAAACAAAATAAAGAGTTAAAAAAAAAAAGATATATAAGAGTCCTTAATCCTTTCACCCACCAGCAGAAGTAAGAAGAAATTAACAATACAGACTAAAGGTAATAAGAATCAAAGTAAAATCTACACTTAATAAAATTAAAAACAAAAAATAAGAATTAAGCACAAATCAGTTAAAGCAAGAAAAAAAAACAACAATCAAAAATAGTAATAAAGATTATAAAGCCAAAGAGATAATCCAATCACACAGATACAAAAACAACATGAAGAGTAAGCATTGACATATTATGACAGATGACAATTTGACAGCTATAAAGAAAAATTGATAAAAGATAGGTACAAACTGCGAAGTTATAAAAGTAAACAAATTACGAGCGTGAATCTACCGACTAAAATACATATTATAAAAGACTTAAATATCCATTTATATACTTTAAAACTACGTAAATAAATATAGAAGTAAGGCCATATGGTAATAGTGAATGATCATAAATTAGTCATGCAAAGTTAAAGTAAATATTCAAAGTGAATTGCATTACTTTTTGATAGCTCGTTTTGTCCTAATGTTGGAGACTTTGCCTGTGTTGCTGGGGCCAGAAGAAACGGGAGGAGCGCTGGAGGTCGACAATGGCGCGTCATGGGGCAAAGGCGAGATGGCGTTAAGTTCACCCACCGTGAGAATGCGGCTTTGCGAACCGTCAGCCCCCACAACCACCACGTATCCATCTTTTGTCCAGCACTTTGAGACTCCCAAACGTTGTCGGGCTGCCACGAATGTGCTATGCCGTTCCTTGGTGAGAAACTCTGACAGGGTTATCCCAGAATTCTTGAGGCCTGACTTGGAATACCAAATTTTGTTCCGAAGAGAAAAATCTTTGAACTTAACAAGGACGGCTCTAGGTTTATCAGATCTAGAATGCCCTAAGCGGTGACAATGACTAATGTCATCCTCTTTGAGAGGGATATCTAAATTCTCAGAAATTATTTTGGTAACAACTTGGGACATTTTTTCATTCTTACTTTCTTGAACACCATGGATTAGTAGAATTTTCTTCCGGGATCTCATTTCAAATTCATCTTGTTTTCTAGATAGAACATCAAGCTGCTTCTGGAGGCCCTCTAATGCAGTCAAAACGAAACTTCTAAAAGTGCTAAATTGGGTAGCAATAGTAGAAGCTGGGCTTGTTGCTGATGCCGAAGAAGTTTGAAGTTGTTTTTGAAACTCTGCCATTTTTGAGTTGAAGTGTTCACTAAGCTCAGCAATTGTGTGCTTCATGGACTCCATTTTGTTTTTATTTTTTATTTTAACTATACACTGAAGTTGTGTTAATGTTTTATTTATAATTTCTGCTTATAAGTGCACAAGTGTCTGTATATTATAGAGGAATATAAAGCTGGTAGGTTTAAGGTTTATTTACTAACACATATCACTATATATCTCTTATATTTGATTTTTAAAAACTATAAAATATAGAGCACTCAAAAACATGTGTTAATAGTTAGCACCTACCCACCAAAAAAGTCTAAGGTATACTAATATGTAAAACCTAAGAATTTGGTTTTTGGTTATATTTCGGGCGGAGCCGCGGGGAATGCTAGTTATTAATATATTTATAGATTATACAAGGTTAGAACCAATCAATATATTCTACCAAAATACCGAAGTACATATAAACTCTACGAGTCAACCCTACTGCTATTTAATGGAGACTCAATTTTGCCAGTAAAAGTAACTTACGTAATAATAGCTACTATATTCTAAGGAGAATGTTGCAAGTGTAAAATAATTGTAATATTTATTTCTACTTACCTTAGAACTTGTTATATTAAAAATAAAATATCAATCTTTGACCGTAAAAAATAAACATTAAAAAAAATATAAAATGATGTGTAGTTGTCAAAACATCATGTATGATAAAAACCATGAACGAATTAACCACTGGACTAGACATATAAGCGGACGTACCTTTATCGGTCTTCTCAGTAACCAGGAGATTTTAGGCTTGGTCGTTTGTTTTTTGCGTCAGTCTCAAGCACTTATTTGTCAACAAAACATCTCCCAAAAATGACTAAATGTTCTGTTAAATGATGTAAAAACTATAACGGCGGAAGCAGCAGTATTTCTTTTCACTTGTAAATACATTATTTTATTACATATATTGTTATTTATCACACAATTTAATTAAATGTAAAATAAAATGTCATATTATCCAACTATGTTAAATATAGTCGATATTTCTATGTATTGTTGACATCTGACAACCATCATAAAATGGCTGGATTATACCATTCAGAACAAATGACAAAACTGTCGAGTGAGTCCATTTGACATCGACTAGTGCTTGACAATGTCGAAAAATATATCGATATTTGACGAAATTACTAAACAAATTGTGTTATTTGTACAGTACAATAACATAAAATACTTTTACCACAGTATCCTACAATCTGATGAGAATAAATTTATAAAAATATTTTCTAAATCAAATAAAAATATAAATGCAAAAATTATAATTAGTATGTGTACTTAATTTTTTATTTTATTTTATTCCACATTTATATACTTTGGAATATTATTCCATTGTAATAATAATAAAGATCATTTTATTTCAACACATAAATTACACAAAATCAAACAATAATGTTTTAGCACTAAACTTCTGGGTTGGCGATTTGTAATAAAACACTTTACCACTTGCACTAATTATTTTACTTTCACGATTCAACACTCACTTTAATTTGCAATCTCTTTTTCTTTTTCCTAATTTCACAAATGTTTATTAAGAACTGAGCAATATTAGGACAGTGTCACATTTTTATAACTACCCGAGACAATCAATTGCCAATTAAAATAGTTCAATAACAGAATCAACAAAATCACTTTATTTAATTAAATTAGCTTAATATTTTTTTAATCTTTACAAAAGAATATTTATTATATATTAATGGAATATATACCCGATATTCATTTGTTCATTAACATTGTTATAGGCCAACAGAATGTTGCCATCAATGCCATCGTATTTATATAAATCAAATTAAAAAATAATAATTATTTGACACATTATTATTGCCTCTTTAATTCATTTATTTTAATTTATTATAATAAATACAGATATTTTAAATTAAAAGATGTAAAATATGATGACTATATATGGCTAACCAATGTCTAAAATGTCATTCATTGGTTCATCGATATATGTATTTTATCGATTACGTTCAGACACTAGAAAAATTGTATTGTGTATCAGTGTTTATAATAATGTAATAAAATCTTTGTGTGCGTTATGCGTCACTTGGTTGAACTAGTTTTCATACATTTGTATTTTATGTCAGGTCCAGTCTCTAATTCGTTCATGATAAAAACCTATGTCACTGTCCTATTAATTAGTAACTCTATGCAAATTAATTAATCATCAATCTATTTATATACTACTACTATATCTATAAAAGATTTAGTTGACTGGAATTCACTTTATTAATCTATACATATAATAAAATTGTAACTAAGCCGAATCTGGACATTAAATATTTTTTTGAAAACCTTATTGAAATAGACATTATTATCGATATAGAGGCCGAATCTATCGTTTTTAGAATTATTGTCTGCCTGTCGGTGACCGCATCACGGAAAAACCACTGGAGTAATTTTGATGAAATTTGGTATGGTGATACCTGGTTATCCAGGTCAACATATAAGATACTTTTTTCTGCGGGAAAATATCTTATCTCTGAGAAATCTATATTAAACGTTAAAACGCAAGTAGGGACGAACCCGAGCGGAGCGAGGGTGAGTCTCTAGTATAATATAGTATCAACAAAGTTTTTCCTTAGCTCAATGATGCTAAAAGAGTTCGTTAAATTTGTTTCCAAGCTATCACTTTACGTAGGTATACTACAGAAATCAAATGATTTAAAATCGACATAATATTAATACGAGTACAATAAAAACTTACCTCCTTAATACACCTCCTAATAAAGAAGCATTCAAGCATTCTGGCGGTGATAGTCTTCTCTGCACTTCTGCCACAGTTACTTTATACTTGCTAGTGGACGACAAGAGGGACAATCTCCCCGGTACTGAGCAGAACACGTCGTTTGGCGCACACGTTCCCGTACCGCCTAGACCGTCCCGACCTTTCATTGCTAGAAAAAAATCCTTACTATAATAAAGACTTTTTTTAATAATATTCAGTAAGTCGTAAGTTATTTTTTTAACATAAATCAGTCATTTTACAGATTTCATCCAGAAAATATTTATTTTTTATAACATACCTAATTATATTAAAATAATGTGTATACATGTGAAAGTACATTACAAGGCGCGAAAAAATACGGGTATTTTAAATTCCCCGTGTCAAATACCAACAATAGCAAGTAACAATTAGCGCCACGCCCCAAACATGCGCCCAGCGTGAAATCTATTACCATTATATTTCTATGGCAACCCTAATACAATAAATATTACTATGTCATTAGTTCTGCACCATGCTGACTATTTAACACCGTACTTGAAAGGAAAAACATTTTAAAAGAAGTTGTTATTGGCCAGTTACAATTCAGTTGAGACTTAACTTGAAAATTATATTTTATATTAATAAATTTAAACAAAGTTACACATATTTGATAATTAACGTCGTTTTTACAATCATTTTTAGATTTTTTTATATATACGGGATCGTATATATGACGATTTTATGTAAGACAAAGACAGATGAAACATCGATAAAGATATATCATTATAATGTACATTCTTTTATACATATTTTAATAATAGTATAAAAAACATTATCACTCAATTAATCAACAAAAAGCTACTATCTAAACAAGTCGCGTTCATTTCCGTATCCGACCTACGCTATTTAAAGCGGATGATTGATCGATGTTTCTATTTTTCTAAATCGATTGAATGAGAACGAGTTTTTTTATGTGAAAAATCGATATAGATATTCAACTGTATGACTTATTATCGCTTATCTAGCGGGTCATCGATTTAATAGTGAGTTAATAAGAGATATGTACTTTTTTGTACTGTAATTGTCTTTATTTTTGTAAGTCGGAGTCTAAATGAAGGCTGCAATTATTATTATCTATTATAATTGTGTATGCATATATGTTAGGTTCGTAGTTTCTTGAAGTTAGCGTTGATGGACATTATAATTTTTTTATACATTTTCGTACTATTTATATTGTTTTACGTTAAACACGCAAAAGTATTGCGATTAATTTTCTATGGATATCTCCCTAAAGTAGAAACTATAACTCAAATGATATACCACTTACATATATAAAGAGATTTTTTTCTATCAGATATTTTTGAGTTTTGATGATGAAATAATTTACTTATATGAATATGCTAGGGCTATTTTTAATAAGTGTACCATATACAGCGAGATATGCAGATCACAACAGTCGATTTCGACCACAGCGACTGTTAAGACTAGATAGGTTTTGCTCTAATATTGTGAGTTAGGGTTTCGTTGCTCTACCCTTTGGTGCGCTCTTCAATGACTTGCATACCCGACTTTATTCGTAAAGGTCCATTTCGACACAGACATAAAGACGGACGTACACTAGACAATTTCCTTTACTGAACAACTTTAGTGTACTTTTATTTGTCAATAATTAGATACATAGTCTTTAACATAACCCACCATTTATTTTAATATAGTAAAAGTATATTTTATAAGATACTAGCGACTAAACTTCATTTCGCTCGGGTTCGTCCCTAGTTACGTTTTAAAGTTTAGTATGGAATAGATAGTCGATCTCATGCTCTATGAAAATAAAACAAATCTATCCCATGAGAACCGTAGATTTTTCTGGGATAAAAAGTAGCCTATGTGCTATTCCAGACTATAATCATTAATCTATCTCTATGCCAAATTCCATCCAGATCCGTTCAGCCGTTCTGGCGTGACAAATATCCAATCTTTCGCATTTGTAATAGTTGTAAGATTTAAAGAATGATAAGTTCACAAAAAAAATTTTTTCATTTAAAAATAGAAACAAATAACAATGTAACTTACTTTTTAATAATGGTAGATCTGTCATGAAACCAGTCGTGTCGTCCATTGCTGCATTCTGAAAAAATATGCATTTTTAATATGGCTACAAAATTCTTTTCATTTCTTTTAGAAAAACATGAGCGAAATTTCTCGTTGGGTTCGAAAGAGGGATCGTTTTAATTTATTAACTTTATTAAATTCCGATTGGCGGACAGACATATTTGTTCTTTAATATCGATACATAAACTTTAAGTAGTTGGTTTTTTATATGCTTTTGGAAAAAAAATATTTTTTGTGTACGAGTACATCCAACATATATTCAATTAAATAGCCCCTTCTATTATATAACAACTTTTTTTTATGTATTAAGAAAAAGATATCTGTAATACTGATATTAATCGTCAATGAATGGTTTTAAATGTTAACGGATGTCAACAAAAATATTTGTTTTACCAAAGAAATGTACCCTTAAATAACATTAACGCCACAAAGAAAAAAATAATATATGTAATATCTATAATTCAGGTATACAAAATCAGTAAAATTTTATATACAATTTATACCATTTTTTACGAGAGGATCACCGAAATAGATCAAATGTTTTAATAGCTAGATTAAAAGAAGTTCCAGAACATTTTGTATGTAAAGGATTTGATAGAAGATAACTAACTCATCTTGGTAATTATGTGATCGCCTTTAGGCAATTTCGATGTTAGAAAAAGATTGTAATTAAAAATTTTATTTTAAAAAACAGACCTATCATCAATTTTTGTAAGGACTAAGACGTTTCCCTTCTGAACTAGTGTTAGACTATACATACATTGATGTATTCAGCCCGTTTTAACGTTCCACCGCTAGGCACGGGCCTCCCTTCAGTACAAGGGAGATCAGGCCATAGTCCACTACGCTGGCCAAGAGCGTACATTATGAAATAGTAATAATGTACTAAATAAAGCTTTTCAATTGAATTTTTTAACCATTTTTTTTAAATTATAATTAACTATCAAGCATTTAACATAAAATACATCTGTCTACCTGTGTTTCATCTGTTGAATGTAACGCGTGATGTAACGCGAGCTCGTGTTGTTCTCTCGCCCCGTACTCTGCGCGCCTGTCGCCGCCGTAACTGAAACCACCGTGTGATAACTGCAAAGAAAAATAATGTTTAAACACAATAATAATAAATGTAATTTATTTATATAATAAAATAATTTAACAGTGAAGTATTTATCAAGCGTAAAAAATGTACCAATGATTATTTGAGATTTTTTGTAAGCAACAAGTATATATTTCGTAAACTACTATTTAAGAACTTCTTCTAACGCTTTAAGCTATAGATGTTAATAAATACCGCTATATGTCTGTACCTATATATATGTTCCGCTCCTAAGAGTTTTAGTGGAAAGTCAGATGAAGAAACTATTAAATGCAAAAAGATTTTTTTAAATCATGTCGGTAGTTCCAGAGATTAGCGTGTCTAAACAAACAAACGAACAAACAAGCATATAATATGTTCTGCAGCTATATAGTATTAATATCGATAATTTCAACGCTAGTCAACTCTACAATGTAGAGTAAGTACGCTTTTAAATATCATAGTGCTCTTTCAAGTAACAAAATATAATAACTCGAATAGAAAATCGTCCCTCACATTCACGGTATTGTGTGGCAAAGCGGGACATTAGGGCTAATCTGCTAAAGTCGGGTTTTGACATAATAGCCATAGAACTTCCTGCAGATTTTGCCTCGGTATTTCTCGTTTCTTTGATTGCTTTATTGTAAATGATATGACGGAGAGGACATTAAATATATTAGTTCTTGTTATATCAGAAAAATAAAAGTATAATGTTTTAAAAGTGATTAAGTATTACTGTGGAATAGTTTAGAAAATGTTTTGTTAGAACGGAATGGATACAAAAGAAAACTCTTTGGCTTTATGCTATTAGTAATATATAGTATGGAAGTCCGTCCGATTTGCTGACATGTGTGATTACTGCTCCGCTGCCTTGGGTGGTAGCATGATGATATATAGCCTTCCTCAATAAATGGGTTATCTAATGCAAAAATCTTTTTTCAAGTCGGATTAGTAGTTCCTGAGATTAGTGCTTTCAAACAAAGAAACAAACTCTGCCTCTTTATAATATTAATATGGATATCGAATAAATTATATTGCTATATTACTGTTTTGTCTAGTTATTTTACAATTTTATTCTAAACTTAAAAAAATGTGATTGACATGGAAATAATAAAATAATTTTTTTTTTTTTTTATTTCGTTATCCTTCACATCATTATACACGATAGACGTACCGGTCTTAAGAAACTATTTACCCTTCCGCGTGCCTTCTCTGGAATCTTCGCATACCGCCTCTACCCTCGAATTATTGCTATTTAAATATGCCGAAACTAAACTGAGATTGCCATGAAGAATCGCCAATATTTAGTTATATAATTAATTTTAGGGCTCTTCTCTCTTTTTAATATTTGATTTTAAACATACAGACGTAGTATAAAAATATTCCTACCATAAATACTAAAAGTGATATTATTTGATATTACACGATGAAAAAGGCAAGCGTGTTAAGCACTAGGTATACCTATCTCTACTTACGGAATAGCCATTCGAATATGGATTTTGCACACTTTTTTATACTATTAATTTTACTTAAAAATCAGCTACTCACATGATGTGAATGTATGGCGTCATGGTGGTCACGATGATGGCGTAAATGCGCATGAGGCTCATGGTGGCCATGGTGTCGAGGTAACAACTGTTGGGGGGCGTAGTGCTGGGCATACTCTGGACCGCCGCCCCCACCTCCGCTGTATTCCATGCCATGGTTCTGCAACAAAGATGTTTATAAGATTATTAATTACAAATGTACCTAACGAATAAAATTAAGTTTTACAAATGGTCTATTTTTAACAACACCTTACCCTTACCCTCTGACTTTATTTGTCACTAGGTTGCTTCCCCATACAAACTGAAATCCCCATTTTCACCCCTTAAAGGATGATTTCCGGGATAATAACTATCCTATGTCCTTCCCAAGGTCTCAAACTATCTTCTTACTAAAATCCATCTAAATAGATTCAGTAGTTTCAGAGCCTATTCGATACAAAAATAAATCCTCTGTATAATACATATGTATTAGAATAGATGGGCAAATCTTTACAATCGATTTTATGACGTTTGGCAGTTTTCACTATCGGTATATATCGATTATTTTTAAATTCAGTTTTCATAAATAACAATAATTCTAGTCAAAAAATAATTGATATGTATGTATGTATAATACAAATTGTTAGTATTAATACAAAAAATACTTTAAACATTATTTAATTAATATATTATATTTATATTATTATTAATATATAAAAATATTATGGCCTCTTATCGAATCCGTGTTTGTCATTATTTAACTTATTATTTATTAGCAATGGTTACTTATTTCAACATATTCAATACTACATTTCAAACCTGTTGTTGGTGATGTGGGCTGGCAGGGTGTGCGGATGGCGCGAAGGGCGGCGGGAAGTACGGCGGCTGGAAGTCGGCGAGCGAGGGCTGTGCGCCGCGGAACCCTCCGCCGCTGAGCCCCAGCCCGCCCCCGCCGAGGCGCTCCTGGTAACGAAAAAGCTTTATTAGCATTTTTGGTACTAGTGATTTACCCTGTCTACTATCAGCAGCCAAGGTGTTTAACAGTAGTCTATGTGTTATTATAGGGTTCGGGCCTACGTGCAGGGTATTGTAGTATGTGAGCAAGCCTCATTGCACTACGGTGATAGGGTTCCAATGTGGTTTTAATGAGTAGGAGTCTCACAGTACCGCTGATGGCGCGGTAGGGACATGTTGGGTTTCCACATTAGAAAAAAATGAAGGTTATTATTTTGTACTAAATTTCATCCTAATTCGTCAGCGTGAAAGAATGCCAAATATTATATACATACATATACAAATCGCAATTATAATAGTAATCCGCTTATGTTATTTTTTTATATATCTTTATATATATAATTCTTCTGTGAGTGTGTATGTCACTGAACTTCTCTCAAACGACAGGACCGATTTTGATGAAATTTTTTTGTGTGTTCAAGGGGATCTGGGAATGGTTTAGATTCACAATTTGAATAATAATTTTCATCAAAAAAATTATTAAAAAAAGTTTGAAATTTTCAAATTAAAGACGTGTAGACAGGACAACGTCTGTCGGGTCCGCTAGTATTCTTATAATTTATTTGGATTAGTGTGCCAGAAAGACAAAGAATATTAAATATTTATAAACAAAACATACTGTAAAATAAGTTTTGAAAACGAGAGAGTTCGTTATGAACATACTTTCTTGTACAGTTTAAATTGCATTGTAATATAAATATTTATTTATTAATACAGATCAGATATTTAAAGTAAAGTATTAATGGTAGTTGGATATTTTAAAGTATAAGTTAAATAAATTCAGAGTAAGACCAGTGTCGAGACTGGTTATGATTAATCTAAGTAACTTTTTTAAACTTATCTTTATAACGTTTAGTATAGATTTCTCAGAGATGAGATATTTTCCACAGTAAAAGTATCCTATATGTTGACACGGATGATTAGCTATCATCATACCAAATTTCATCAAAATCTGTCCAGTGGTTTTCTCTTGATGCGACAAAAATCCCAAAAACTATTGATTCCGCTTCTGTATCGATAATAATGATTATTTCAATAAGATTTTCCAAAAAATATTTAATGTACAGATTCGACTCAGAATTTTATTATAATATATGCATAGATTGTTATTTACTAGTTACTTATAAGTAATTAATTTATTTAAATAAAAGTATGAAAATTTAGGTTGATGTTACATATATTCAGACACTTAAATTTTAGTGTTTAAAACAGCTGTCCAAATCGGCAGATGAAATGAAAATTAATCAGAGGTAATTAGTTTCTGACATTAACGAGCGATTAGCTTTGATTATGCAATTAACGTATTATCGAGTGTTGATATGATAATTAGTAGAAGCTTTTTGTTGAACTCCATTGGGAATTTGCTATTGTGTTGCACAAATTAAGTGTCGAATTATGGTTAGGAGTTTTAGTTGGGTTAATTATAACTGATATTTAAAATATACTAGGTTTAGAGTGTGGCATTACCCGTCTTTATATTAGTTTTTACCCCATAACCTCTAAAGATGGCCTGATTGTTCTCTTTTACAGCGAACATGATTTATCTGCTTCTCGGCGTAGTTAACTGATTGAAATAAACCATTCTCTAATTTTCTTACAAAAAGAACAGAAGCTGTCGTGTATTGTACACAGACAGACTAAAAATAATAATTATATAATTTATAATTAGATTTCAAACTGCAAATTATTATTTTTGAAATATTAGGTATTTTACAAAGCCAGCTTTTACGCAGTTTAATATACATATAATAATAAATAATTATTGTAAAAATAAATAGTATACCGAGCTTGTACATAAAATATTATAAAATATATCATGTCGAAAAGTTTGTTTTTAATTTTATTTATTTATTTTTATAATTCTAATTATCTTTATTATAATGTAGCATAATATATTATGACTTTTAAAAAAAACGTATCATCTTCGCCCATTATACCAAGATGCATAGATAAAAAAAAGATAAAAATTGACAGATCACATGTTTTGTTCAATATAAATGCACGCAAAGCCATATGCTGAAGCTGGATAAGTATATCTTAATATATATAATTCTTCTGTACGTGTGTTTGTCACCTTACTCCTCCTAAACGGCTTTCAATGGGTTCCTGGACGGTTTGAAAGCAGAATTGGACCCGGTAGGTGGCGCTGCAGTCGGTGTATCACCAAATTTTCATCCATCATCATTTTCCGTGCAATAAATACATTTAAATTGGGTGTAAAACCGTGGGTACCACTAGTATATTTATACGTTATTTTATTAAAGAAAATTACAAATATACCTAATTAAGTATATATGTATACAAAATATACAACAGCTGGTTAAGTAATATTATAAATAAAAATAAATATACTCTATTATTTATATTATAGCTTAATGGCTTCATTACGTAATTATATTTAAAAGGTCGCTTAATTTTCACATAAAAACTAAATAAATGTGTTACTTCGAATAGATGTTGCCTACCAAATTAGGTATGAATTGAATATAAAATTTTCGAGTATCACATTTTAATTAAATTCTTTTTGCAATTCTAATTCAAATATAATTTTAATTTATAACCACTATGAATAAATCAAAATGAGATTTTTGATTTATCTGACAATAATAGTACAATAAGTAAATTATGATGGATTCGTAAATAAAATGCAATTATGATTGCACGCGAGATCCAAATTATATTTTTATTAGCATTATAAGTAGTTGATGTTATTCTGAAATATTATTATTAAGTCTCGATCTGTTCGTAATATATAAAATATAGGAATTCTGACATCCAATTATTTATTATTATTTTATTATAATACTTTCTTTTGATATTTGCAGGCCAGAAAAAACCCTTTAGATATGCGTGTGATGAAATAGAAATACGTATACCGTAACACATATTATGATAATAGATTTATTATTTATATAATCATCAGCTCGAATCCATGTCTCTACTTGCACTCTCTAAAGAGAAAGATGTAAATATAACTTATTTAAATAGAAACATAAAATAATATGTATTGAAAGGTGTTGGTTAGGTTTTGAATTTTTGGTGGATTATAAATTAATTATTCTTCATTAGTTGGGCCCTCGCAAATAAATCAGTATATTAATTAATTAATAATTATTACTGACATAAGTTTAAAGTTGCCCAAATGGTCTATAATAGATCTCGTTTTGTGTTTTTAGAGTTTGAGTTTTTATTTGACTGTACCTATTTCAGAGTGAAAAATGATAAAATGCATGTTTAAGTTTTTTTATGAAATTTCATTGATTAAATTTCAATTAATTCAGATCAGATTAGAACTATAGATGTTTAAATAATTAAGAACCGTTATTTAGTTTACTTTTTATTCCACTGATTAAGTAGCAATTTAATACAAGATTTATGTGTTCAATCATCAACGCCTCAATTTTTATTTGAGGTAACATTAAATATAATATGTAGTGATCGAATGTAGATCGATTGCCAAATATCGAGTTTCGGATATACAAACTAGTGCAGATTTGAGACGTATGGTGGTCCATTTTTTGACGTCGGTTTTATAAGTCTAGAAGATTTATTACACGTTGATCATATTTGCCCGATTTTAAATTTCTTAACAGGGTGATAAATCCTGCGATTTAAATGTCACAATAATTAATATCATACTTATTTATTTTATACTTAAATTGCTTATTTTAGAAAAAGGATACTATAAATATTTATTTGAAATTATTTTACTAATGTGATTTAAGAAATAATTATTTTAGTATTGTGTTGACAAACTGAGATTAAAAAATTAGACCTTGTGGCTGACTTTTCTTTAAAAGCAATCAAGCTACAAACTACAGTCTGCAAATAAATTTGTATACAAGAACTTTCACGTCCTATAATATCAATATTCTGCAAAATGATGTACGAAATAAATAACAGGTAATAATAGTCTGATGTCTGCACTCGTCAATACTGATTACACTTTGATCATTTTTTGTATAATTTATGCGATGTTCACCGGATGCGTGGTGAAAACTAAAACGGGTAGCATTACCATACAACTTGTTCTTTAGAGCTGAATGAACTTCGCTCCACTATTATTAATATTTTGTTTATTTAAAGCAAAGATAAAATATATAACTATGTCACTATATATTATATAACAGCTCTGTCTGTCCGTGTGTGTATCGATACAGCAAACGCGATAAACTTAAAAACTAATGAATGGATTTTCATACAGTTGTCACCAATGGACAGAGCGATTCATGAGGAAGAAACATTTTTTAAGGTTTTGTGTAAATTCGTTATGATATGACGATGATTATTGAAGATGTCGGAACCATGTCAACTGAGAGCTTTACTGGTGTGTGCTGCGTAAATCAATAGCTTTCTATGAAAACAATGTATTATGGAATCATTCGTTCCTAATTATCTACGCAACTACGCCAAGCGAGGGTAAGTCGCTAGTATATTTATAAACAAAGAGGAAATGTCTATCTGTCTTCTGTATATTAGATACCTGTTGACGTAAAATATCGGTAAAGTGATTTAAACTGGGTTTTGATTTAGTTTCGTATGTGCTTTTATGTACCTATTCATGTGGTTTTGTTTAAAATATGTGTGTAATTAATAATGATTATGATAAATATAAATTATATTTTTTTATGTTTAAGTAATTTTAATAATTAAGTGAATGTCGTTTTATAACCTGTAATCTTTTTTGCAATGACCATTTAAAATTGTATGTCGTAACTGCTCTGATTTTGTTAAGATTTATATTATTGCAGCTATCTAATGGCTGTTTGACATATTCACATTGACACACATTAAATAATAATAATTAATAAGACATATAATAATATTGCAGATATAAGAAACGAGTTATTAATGATTTACATAAATTGCTTGAGTAAAACCTTTTATTATCTATATCTGTACTAATATAAAGAGCAGAGTTTGTTTGTTTGTTTATTCCTTTTTGTTTGTTTGAACGCGGTTATCTCAGGAACTAC